CCAAGTGACTTCACAAGACTGGGATCCCATCTAGTCTGCTATTTCTCTCGTGGGCTCCACCCTATCACCTGATTCCACCTCATCAATTAACTCCAACTCATCAAGTGACTTCACTTGACTCCAAATGACTCCATGCGTCTGGAGTCCGCTGTTTCCCCCTTGCCCAAACTTGAAGCTTTTCTTTAAAAAGATGCGCTCGAAATACTCTGCTAAATCGTACCTACACTTTAATTTCAGAACTTCAATTAAGAGAACTAGAGAACTCAGTTAGCTAGTGAGAACTCAGTTACTTTTGAATGTGCTCTTTCTCATGGTCTGTAAAAGAATATTTAGAACAGATTGTGTGATCGAGAACGAAGTTTCAAAATACGTCAAAAATTCACAACCTCCCGTTTCAAACAATGCTCCGAAGCAAGAAATGGAAAATATCATCGAAGTTGTAATTTTGCAGTAAGGTAGAGCAGAGTAATCATTTCTGATCAAAACAAAACAAACTCGATCGAAAAATCTGTTGTTTTGATGGAGTTATGGGGTTTTTAGTAAAAGCACCACTATACATACAGTTTAAGAAATTAATGAAAAATTGTATGGCAACAGATAAATGACAAAATGACTAATTCATTATTTTTTACTTTCAAAACGTTAGCACAACAAATCGTTTTTGAATTTACAAGTTTTTGTTTTATAGCGCCTTTCGTATAATTTACATAGTTTTCTTGACTGAAGTTCTGAAATTACAGTTTAGGTATGGTTTTGGACTGTGATATGTGGCAACATTAACAATATTTTCTTTCGATATAATATGACAGAAAATTGCCTAAAGTTAAGGTTCGCCAAATTCGAAAGATAGCTGAAAAACAGATTTCCTTGAAACATACATAGTCAGATATAGCTCGTCGAGCGGATTCCGAATATGACTTTTTTAATATTTCTTGATCAAGTTTTGAGGGGAAAATCTTCAACGTATCGCAAAAGTCGCAAAACCTGAAAAAGTGAGCACTATAGAGAAAGGTCAAGAGTTGACCGTTTTCTGTTTACTCTAGTTTCGGAACTATGTTACTCGGATTCAGCATCAAAAGGTGAGTATATCCATGTGATTTGAGAGTAGTTCATCGCTCTGAGGCCTGCGAGCAGGACGGACTAAGTTCGTCCAAGGACGTTTTGACATTCTGTTTTTTCAGACCTATGTAGTCTTTTGTTTCAAGGGCTATCCCAACTATCATACACCATTCGAATCATCATCCGACAGTGAACAAAAGTATTGATCGCTTTTCTCTTTAAAACTAAAGTGAACGAAAAACGGTCAAATCTTGAGTTTTCTCTTATAACACTCACTTTTTCATTTTCTGCGACTCTTGCAGTACTTTGAAGATTTTCCCGCTAAACTTTGATCAAGAAACAATAAAAACTTCATATTCGGAATCAGGTCGACGAGCTCTATCCAACCATGTATGTTTTAAGGAAATCTATTTTTCTGCTTACTCTTCGAATTTGGAGAACCTTACACACATCTGCATCTATCCTATTGGTGTTTTTTCCTGTATATCTGATTGTCAAAATTGTGTTTTCTAAAAGGGCTTACTATTAAGAATCTTAGAATTATTTTTCATGCTAACCGATTTCGAATGAGTCGCAGAATTTTTGTTTATGCATTTTACTCTTATAATCAAAACTATGGCATGAATTTAAGATAAACTATTGGAAAATTTGAGATGTAAAAGTTTTACTGACTTACCAGTAATGTTCCAATAATTAATGTATAACTAATATTAGCAAGCCATAAATCCAATATACATACAACAGTTGAGGTTGAGAATAATCCTTCTAATGAACGTGGTACAACCGATAATGTCAAACAGCCCACTCCAATTAACATTAGAATTAAAAAAGTTGGACTTGATGCTTTAAAAACGGGTGTTTGACGTAGACTATATGTTAAAATAATCATAAATAATGAAAGAATAGTACATATTATACTTCCAGTTATCATACTAATCATTATCCAACGAGAAATTTTTATTATAGGTCGACTAGGTAAATCCAATGGTTTAATTCGGTTTCCGTGCATATAGATAACCGCAGTTTCATTAAATGAAGTAAGATATCCTTCACCAGTTATTGAGCCAATTTTAACAAGTGAATCATTTTGAAAATTAAGAATATCGAACGAAGCTGGTGAACGATCCCCATTTCTATCTACTGAAACAATACCACTAACACCGGAGAAACTAATATTTTTTAGAATACTCAAATACGATGATCGATTTTCTTCTAGAGTTGGATCTATTTTATCTTTTTCGATCATTTGATGAAGAGCATGAGCAAACATTAGACAAGCATCATAAGCAAAATTAGCAATAATTGGTATATCTTCTTTAGTATCATTTGGATAAATACTTGGTGTTTCTATATCGAATGGGGTAGAATACCATTCTTTCCTATATTTTTTATACTCCGGTGAATTAGTTGCAGCAGAATTTTGTAAACCAATAAGTCCTTGTACCCATTTATAGTTATCTTGTTCAATACCTCTACTGGAATTCAAATAGACAGCTCGATACATACTATTATGAACAGCAATCCATTGATAACCATTAAAAATTAATTCAGGAGCTAATTCTAAACAATTACGAATGACTTCTTTTTGATCTTTTAATGTACCAATAAATACAATAATACGTGCTTTTGAGTTTTTTATTTCTGCAAAATGATCTGCTAAACTAATATTAACAGCACCACTAACAAATGCTCTACGAGTAAGTATAGTTATATTTAATGATTTTGTTGAGTTAATAAATCTGTCAACATTATGAAAATTAGGTCTATCTGATGTATATAAAAGAGCAATATTATGCCATTCTTGTTTATGAATAAAATACGCTAATGCATTTAATTCTAAATTTAAATCTGGTATTGTACGTAGAAAATATGGATACTGTTCGCTTTGATCAGCTGTAAATATAGCTGATGTAGCTCCATATGATATTTGTGGTATTTTGTAATGACGTGCAACAAACTGAGCAGCCTAATATCATTGAAAAGAAAAACAGCTTATTATGATTAGCAGCAGTTTTAAATTTATTGATCAAAATGAACATCATTTTATTTTAAAATCAGCGTTTCGAGAGTTCAACTCTCATTTTCAAGACAAATATATAAAGTAAAAAACTTAGAACAAAATTAGAGGAAATAAGAAAATATACTGTAATTTTCCTGTAAAATAGTTCAATTGAACCTCGGAAAGATCCAATACCTAAAAATCTTCAATTAAAAATTGTTTATATGGCTAACTGTTCTAACTATGATTTTTCATATATTGGAGAAACAATTCGTCAAGCCTTTAGACGATTTGAAGAACATGGAACATATTTCCATGAATACTACACCCATTACTCCAGACTTACCATCTACAGCAGAGGTGGGAGATGGACTATCTTTAGCTCACTCGCGGGGATCGCCCCGCAAGATGAGTGACAGACATTTGAGCGCCGATACTTGAGCGATCGATCTGAAATCTGAGTGAAGTTATGTGGTGAATAGTCATTATATGATTCTGTTACAGATATACAGTTTCGCATGATGAAAATATTCGTTCCGTGTGGAACTACTTTTCAAACTCATTCTCACACTGCCCACACCTCCCACGACACACTTCCGAAAATACCCAAATGTGCACCACGAAAAATTCGTGGAAGAGTCGGGGCCGCTCAAATATCGGTCGTTCCGATATCGGTTGATGCCTCGCAAATTTCCTTCCTCGTCACTGCCCCGTACCTCACCAAGTTTCGATAAAGGTACTTCGCGAGAACCGCCCCGTAAGCTTTCTGTTCCGTCATCGCCTCGTCCACCGTCAACTCTTGATACAATTTTTGCACTGGCGCTTCCTCATCGATCCTCCTGAGTCCAAAAAATCTCTGCTAACATAAGTTATTCATTGTTTCCTTTTGATTCACAAGAAGAACCATCACCTTTATTATAAAAATAGATCAAAATAAACATAACATCTTTTGCTTACAAGAAAAAACGTTCGTCGCAGAGTCGTGCTATGAAGTTCTTGCCTCGTCAACTTTCAAAAAATCTTCCTCGCGAGGTGTGCCCTGTGAAAAAGCGCGGGTCCTCGTTCATCACTCATCTACAGTAACACTACAACGATCATAGGGAAATATCAATGAAGAAGTTAATTATATTCTAACAGAAGAGTCCTTATTTCCAGATGGTTCAGATGATCAAGAACATAAAATAAAATTTGCACTACATAAACATGAGCTAGAAACGAATCATCATATTGTTTGTGAGGAATTTAAAATTCTTTCCAGAGATTCATGGAAGTATAGATTATTAGTCAGAGAATCACTCGCTATCATGTACTATCAGCCTGGTCGCAACAGAACACCCAAGCATGAAAAATGTATCGGGCATTGTCCGATGCAGCTAGATATACTGGATATAAAACGTGATACATCTAGATGCATAAAAACGAGAAAAAGTTGAATCGGGTTATCGGCCGATACGTAGAGATACAGCCGTTCATTTCTAGATGTATCTGGTTATGTATCTAGTAGCGATATTAACCCAATTCATCGAGCAATGTATTGGGAGATGAGTCTAATTGTGTATCGACTCCAGATGAGACACGCGTGAAATCGCCCTATAAAGGTCCATATACCGTACAATGTGTCGAGAGATGCATCGAGGGATATATAGATCAATTCTTCTACTTGAGCATCGTTTTAAGTCAATTCCATTCCATCCTATCGTTAAAATCGGACGCTGCATCCAGTGTAAGGCGATTTCCAACTAGATGCAACTGGGTGAGAAATCGCCTTGTTGAGAAACAGTAATTCTCATTTTGCATCATGAAGCTCAAGTTATACAAAGCTGAGCCTGGCAGATGAAGTTGAGAAAATTTAAGTTGCTACATTTTATCTTCTAGACTCAACTTTGGAAAATATCTCCTTCATAGTGAAAACGCGAGAAAATCATTTTTTTAAACATAATTTTCAATTTTTCATAGTAAAGGAAGTACTTCCCAAGCTTGAATTTGAAACAGACAGTGTAGCAAATTGAATTTTCTAAATTTTATCTGCTAGGCTGAGCTTTGTACATCTAGATCTTCAGGATAAAAAATGCCAAAAAACGGCTTTTAGTCTGAAGACTGGTTGCTAGAGACCAGACATCAGCACAAAAATTTTAGAAAATTAAATTTTCAATATTTTATGTTCGAGACTCAAGTCCAGTAAATGATTCCATCATGGTGAGAAACGCCCATTGTTGTTGATTAATCATTTTAAATTTAGTAAGTTATTTTTATCCATAACAAGAAAGAGAATGAAAAATGTATACGTATTTGTGTAAGCTGGTGTGAAACAATGGCGTACATAGGAGACTACTGATCTCTAGATACAGAGTTCAAATCTGTACACTAGCTGTGTTTCTTTTTCTCTTTTTTTTCATCTCGATTTACAACTAATTTTATCGCTTTTTATATCTAGCGGTTCTTTCTTTTAAATAGTTAGACGAACCATACGATTAATCGCCAGATGATCAAACCAAGACATCCATTAATTTTATCCATAAATCATTACTAGCAACGTAAAAGTTCAAAATTTTGCGGCGATCGTAGCGTTGATGGATAGAAATGCATGGATGTCTTGGTTTGACCTCGCTATATGTTTCTAGTTCTTATTTGTTTTCCATCAATCATAATTTCTTACTAGATGCATCGGGTATTGTATCGTGTCAGTCGAGTCAAACCCGATGTATCTAGCTAACCTGATATTTTTTACTCTTTTATCTAGATACTTTCGATGGAGAATCGGGCGATACTCCAACGAGTGTATCTAGATTTTTCTCTTACGTTTTCGGGCTTGGGCAGTATTCTCTGTACTACTTGTTATTTATCCGGAAGGATTAGCGAGTAATTTCGTAGTTCGACAAAAACAGAAAATGTTACCCCAAGAGGGAAGGACAGGTAGTTGACTGAAAGCGCTTCCAGTCTGTGCAACGTCAATGTGCACGTCACTGTGACAGATTTAGATAGTGAATTCAATTGGACTGTTTTACACGCAAATTACAGTATATTTTCTTATTTTTTCTATAATTTTGCTCAAAATTTACTTGATTTATTTGTCTCGGAAAGGAGAGTTGAACTCTCGAAATGTTGACTTTAAAATAAAATGAAAATCATTCTGATCAATAAACTTAAAGCTGCTTTAGAAACTATTCTACTGGTGGCCCGACGTCTTCTCTTAAAATAGGAGTCACCGAAATCTTGATATTCCGTGGTACGGGCGGTAATTTCGCAGTTCAACAGAAACACTTTTCGACAGCGTGTTTCGACACTGTCGAATTTCGAGTGAACACTCCGACAGTGTTGAAAACTGTTTGTCGAAAAGTAGAACTATCGAACGACGACAAATTCGTACGGGCTTTCCATCGGATTTCCTACGGGTCCTAGAGCTGGCATCCGGTGACTATTAGTACCCTCGATAACTGATGATTGATAGGTAATCGAGGTAAACACGAGCGTAAAAAGAAGCGGCTTTTTCGAGAAGAGGAAGAAAGAAAAACATGCGAATCGCCCTTTTTATAGAGCACTCATTCTTCCTTCTATCAAAACATGTGACACATTCTTCTACATTTCTATCTTTGGGTGCTCGTCTGACCTGAGCATGCATCAATACCAATCATCGTTGAAGATATTGTACAACCTAGTAATACTCAGATCCAATATTATTGTATACCCAATATATTGGGTTCAGCAATACACTGGATTCCAACTTTTCAATCTTAATATTATTTACATTCATGAAACAGTGAGAAAGCATATCCCAATTGTGATATAAAAATGTATCCCAATTGGGATATGGAGCATGCGTTCGTACTGTAAAAGCAGACTTAACTCAAGCGACCCAATACTCAATAATATTGTGAAACCTAATATATTGGGTGACCAATATTGTTCATCCCAATATATTGGGTATAGAATAATATTGGGCTTCGATATATTGTATAGGTGCATGCCTAGTCTGATCGCGAAACGCTTTTACACACACGTTGTACAATGAGATTAAAACGCATGTGGCAAACTGTACAGAAGTTGTTTAGTAGAATTAAATTTCCTAAAAGAGAGAGAGCGTGCATAATCTAGTTTTTCTACCCTATACTAAAGATTTAGACGCAGGATATGGAAAACCATCAAATACCATCAAGATTTTGTGATAGATATAACCAATTTTCTCTACTCTATCAGAAACTAATGTTGGATTCTGTCCAATCTTTTAAATATCCTCAAAGCTTTGTCAAGCTTGGTGAAAGAGCTAGAAAAACTACATATTCGCCTAGCCCACCAAGCTTTGAGGATTTTTAAAAGATTGGACAGAATCCAACATTAGTTTCTGATAGAGTAGAGAAAATTGGTTATATCTATCACAAAATCTTGATGGTATTTGGTGGTTTCCATATCCTGGCTCTAAATCTGTAGCATAGGGTAGAAAAACTTGGTGCAAGCCTAACCAAGTGTTGGGAAACTTTTGTCGCATAAACGAGGAAAGAGGTAAAACAAAATGGACGACGCAGATCTATTATGTTCTTACGACGCATTTTTGTCGCCAATTGTAGAGAAAAGATACGATTCACTCATTTCTATGTGAAGATTAATTCTTTTCTTCTTTTAATCAAAAAGAAAAAAACTCTCATTCGTCGCAGTGGAAACACCTTTTTGCATTACTCTTTTTCTTCTTTTTGAAAGAAGTTTATACAGGAAGTATTGCGTTATGTTTACCTGTGATGTCAATGAATTGTATTCACCTATAATGCCTATGACACTATAATTTTGTATTTGTATAAATGTGTCAATAATAGTGTTGCCAACACTTGAATTTGTATTATGAATTATACAATTTAATTTAGTATTTGGTAGAAGATCTGACCGATTATTTATAGATTTAATTGCTAATTTAAATGCAAACAATGCTGGATGTCCACCTACGAGACTTGCTACATTATTATCATTCGTAGGGCCGAGAAAGCCCAATGTTAATTCTGTTGGTAATGATAAACAAGTTATTGAGAAAAATAACAGTATAAATAAGTATAATAACATGTTGAATAGTTTGAATAAATGTTTAATGGGATCAGTAATAATAAAAAAAACCTCTTTTATTTTATTTATTAGTCAAACGTAAATAGGAAAACAGATTATCTTTTTGGTTTGTGATAAGAAAAATCATTTATTAAAATATGTCCACATAATAAGACAAAAACTTTTCGATTCTCTATAAATGTTACAATTGATTTTACAATTCTACAACTTTTTATATGGTTATTTACAGTCAATAAAATTTCTAATCTCTTAACAATCAAAATAACATGAGAAAAAAAGAGGTATTAATTTTTCTAATAGGCAATTCACTACTCTCTTAACAAGAAAGATATATTTCAAAAACAAAACCTTGGAAAGGTGTAAGCACCTAAGAAAAATCTAAAAAAGGTATAATCACCTGATAAAAACATATACAAGGTATAGTTATTTGAACCGTATAAATGCCTTCTAAATCTTTTGTCATCCTATCAAAAACCAAATTTTTCTGAAATGCAACTAAATTATATTTGTAAAAGCAGTTTTTGAGGCTCTTCCAGGCGATAAAAAATCGTTAGGAATGGACGAACGCGTTAGCGAACGATCGTTAGAAGAACCGTTTAAACGCGTTTTTTGCCATTCAGAGGTTTAGAATAACGCGTTCTTTGACAACGCACTTGCTAACGATCGTTAAATTAACCGTTTCTGGTCTTCTTGTTGAACATGTTTCTGAACCAGATTAAAATGGTCATTGAAACGCGTTTATTTTATATAAAAGCGCGTTCTAAACGCGTTTACAAAAAGAAAAAAATTAGAAGATATATGATTTTAACTTTGTTAGAAAACACGTTTAATAAAAACGCGAGAAGACGGTTAATTCACCAATCGTTAGCAAACGCGTTATTGTAAAGTTTTGAACGACAAAACACACTTTTAAACGATCTGCTCTTTTAACGATCGTTTAGTAACGCGTTGGGAAAAACGGGTTTTCCGTGCCTTTTCTAATGACTTTTTCTTGAAATTGAAATTTTTCGTCAAGTGCCCTCCATTAGTATGTTGTCAGCTAATGCAATGTCAGGAGGATATGACCGAATGGGAAACGTGGAAGAATGATGGGACAGAAGTTGATAATTCAAATTTCTGAATCCTCCCTCTGTTTTTACTTTTGAATCATTTCAAAACCCGTTAATTAACGTTTTCATTGTCGTTCACATTCATCGAAAAATGCGTTGTGAAATTCCGAAAAACACCTTTTGAAACGAACAGATTAAAAAAAACGGGTTGGTTTTGAAACCTCTAACTTTTTTTGAAAACACTTTTTTTTAGTGCTAGAGTTAATGTTAACAATTTCTCATATTCTTGCTGATAATCTGTATCATCATCTAATTCATTGGATAAGAATATACTATTATCACCTTGTAAATTTTGCACGTCTATATCATCGGAAATTAGTGTTGGAGTTTTAGGTGTTGACATTTTCTTTTTTTTGTTTGGATTCTTAACAACTGTTTCGTGTGAAGTAACAACAGGAGTTGTTGTCGAACACGATGGTTGATGAGAAGCGTATCAACAATAGGTGTAATGGTTATTGTCACATTTGACACAATACTAACTTCAGCTGGCGATTTTGTCTAATTTGTTGAAATACGATTGGAGACTGATAGTGATGCGGGTTTGTTCGATGTTTGACACGAGTACACATTTATTGAACGCTTGATGGTGCTGGTGGAGGACTATCTTTTGCCGGTCGAACTGACTGTTGTTGTTCAGGTCCAAAAAATGGAAGTGGCGGAGATGGAGCACCTTGTGGTTGAACAGCTAAAGTTTGATAATATTGTTGATAAGATGTGCCAGCTAACGTTTGATAATGTGGAGGAGGAGGAGATACACCAGTTGTTGGTCGATCATATTGATATTGACTAGATGTACAAGTCTGAAGTACGACAAATGGTTGTTCCTGTTGTTGTAGTGGATGATGATGATGTGAATTGGTGGCCATTGTTGATAAACGGGTTGATTTGGCTGCGGATAAAACAACTGATAAACCGGTGAAGCTGTTAAACAACAGCAACTTTGAGGATGATGATATTGATAACTGGTTGATTGTGCATGTGTGTGTATATGTTCGACACAGACAAGGTGGATGGTAAAAAAGAATGAAATAAAAGCAGTTTTTAAGTTTAAGGTGGGGACCATTCCAGTATTACGTTAGCAACTTGTATTACTAACACGTAACTACTTAAATCATCTAAATTGCATCCATTGTACAACCTACAGCTAAGTTTTATGTTGCTAAACACTGTAATGGGACAAAATCCCGCAAAATAACGAAATATTTATTCTCTAAAGCTTAAAAAGTCGTTTTCGTCGAATCGTATCGTTAAATGCCTGAGCTATTCGAAAAATGTGTCAATGACTTAAGTTTGATTTAAGTTTTCGGTCCTATCTTTGAGACTGCATTTCTCATGACTTAAGTCTGATTTAAGTTTTCGGTCTTAACTCTGAGACCACATTTCTCATGACTTAAGTCACCCTTTGGCTTAAGCTTTTTTGTAATACGGTAAAACTTAGGTCCAAAGGCTTAAGTTAGTGGCGGAGACTTAAGTTCTGACTTAAGCCCAAATTTTGACTTAAGTTAGATTTAAGTTTTTTCGGAATATGGCCTCCTGCTGGCTAAAGTATCAACCTTCTCGAATTTACAGTGCGCTGCAATAAAATAAACCGTAAAATTTATGATGGGTTACGTAGACGCCATTATAAATCTACAGGAGCTCTCAAAGGAAGTTATTTGACAATAAAAACAATAAAAAATCATCACATACCTCTGCTATCTGTCTCTAATAACATAACATACATTTTCTTGAAATTGTATTCTTGGCATTTGGTTAAGCGGAAGTAAATGATCATTTGTTTTATGGCCCGAATAACCACGAAGATAGCATTTTCTATCGTTTAGTTTATACATAATCTAAAGATATAAAAAGCAATAATTTACAATGTCGTCCATAGCAACCAGAGTTGCCAGATGGTCCGTATTTTGTGAACAAAATTCCGGTTTTTTGGAATTTTTTTTTCACAATTTGTCGGCTGTCTGCTATCTGTCTGCATTTTAAATATTTTCTGCTTTTGCTGTTTATCACCTGAGTAAAAATTCGTTTAAATTCATCGTTATCATGCACTGAAATTTATAACTATTTATCATGCCAGAAGTGCTTAAACTTATTCATTCTAATAAAAAATGTACAATCCAAAAACAACGTGCGAATTAAAATTAAGATTTACATTTCTGTTTGTTGTTCTCTTATGTTTTATTGAGTAAAATCACAAAGTGCTAGAGAAAACGTTTTTTGACTGTCTGTGCGTGAAAAAGGATAAAGTTAGACAATGAAAATGCGTTTCGGTTTCTTTTCCGCATTTTGGAATTTTTATTCCGCATTTCTGACCTGAGCATCAAACAGCTCTGATCACAACTGCAGAAAATTATATGACAGAAGAACTAGCAACTAGAAAAACATTTCGTGGATGACGTGTATACATCTTACTCAGTATTATACCTTTTTAACGGTATTTCCGTCTACTAAATCGATTCTTTGGGGCCTTAAGGCTCGAAGCCAAAACGAAGGATCCAAATGAGGACTATATTTTTCTTCTAAAGGTAGCGCAGGATTTTCATTCGCATTTTCATGTTCAGTCTCGTCTCTCTTCCTTTTCTGTCTCCTATTGATTTACTTCCAGCTTTGATTTTACTCTCTTGAATATTCTCAACGCTTTTTTGCAAATCATTTGAATTAGCATCAGTGAAGCTATCAATATGACTCAAGGGTGTAAGCAGTGAAGCGAAACAGAAAGTCATGAACTGCGGAAAGAGAGAAAGAGATGATTCATAAGAGAAGCCAATAGATATACGCGATGAGATGAACCGAGAAAGAAGAGAAGAAAAGGATGAGAAGACAATGGAAGCGCCCTATGTTTCGAATATATACACGTATATAAGTGTATACCGTTTGATACACCTTTTTATCGCCTGTGTATATGGTTACATACAAAAGATGCAGACAGCTTTGTCTCGTGTTTTGACTGTGACACATGAGCGCATGTTTAATTGAAAATCTAGGAGTATACAAGATGAATGCCATATTTCTGTTTATCTGAACTAAAACTAACTGAACTCTAGTTTATTGAGAATTTTTTGAAACTCTCATTGAGCAAAAGTCATTTGATAAACAGAAACAAATACTTTTTGAACAGTATGACCACTACACGCAGAGGAAAAGTTGTGGTGAATGTGCATGATTTTTATGAATGTGGCAACCTTTTCAAATGTGAAAGTTCGTTAGAAGGGCTGCGTGCAAGAGTTGTCGAAAAACTAAGAACGTAAAATAATGGTCAAAAAGTACTTGCGAAAGTTACACGTTTTTTCTGTCCGGTTGAATGATACAGAATTCGGACTGATTTTGTTTAGGTTTAGACGAGAATGTTGTGACGGCAGTATAAGTGTTATATCGAATATAACTAATACTGTCTGTCTTCCCAGGTAGTCGAAAACGGTATCGTTAACGTGCCGTAAATGTTTTGTTAACGGGCCGTTTTTGCACCGTTCTACACCGTTTTACACTGTTTAACTGGGGCCGTTTTTAGACCGTTTTCAGTACATATTTCAAACATTATTTTTGATCATGAACTGAAAAATATTATTTTCTGAATTCTTTTCAAGTTTTGTGACTGCTTTGAGCCATGATTTACTAGTCTCAGCAGTATGGTACTATCACTAGTACACGTCCATGCACTAAGGCTACTCCCTCCAGACAAGCTTCGATGACTTATATAGCAGAGAAAGAGAAAAATTCTAAGCTATAACTTCGATTCTATTCGAAGAAAATCAGCGTTCCATTTATACTAGTAGTGAAAATAAAAGAGGTGAATGACCTGTCGTCAGAACGGTCTAATGACGGTCATTTTACGATATAGAACATCTACTTCACTCAGTCACACCAATAAACGGTCCGATTTTAGGCCGCGCGCTGACGCTCTTGAAACGGCCAGTTTATTGTGACGTAACGAGTCGTTTTTTAGATGACCGTTAACCGTCTGTTAACACACCGTCCCGTTTGACCTGGGTTCATTTCAAATGTAACGTTCTAACAACTACTGATAATATATGCTGAGAAAACAAACTCTTATTTGCAGTTTTAAAAGCGTTGGAGAATAATGCAGGATGAGACCTATCCGGGACTGGATGAATCCAGAAAAGGATGTCTAGTATTTTCTCGACGTCTGCCAAACACTTCCGACAAAGTGCGACATCTGTCGAAAAAATACTAGACATCTTTTTCTGGATTCATCCAGTCCCGGGTAGGTCTCATCCTGCATTATTCTCCAACGCTTTTAAAACTGTATATAAGAGTTTGTTTTCTCGACATATATTATCAGTAGTTGTTAGAACGTTACATTCGAAATAAAGACAGATAGTATTAGTTATATTCGATCATAATAAAATTCTTGAAGTCGTAAATTTTTGAAATCTAAAATTCTGTAGCTCAAAAATTCCAAAGTCCTGTAATGCTACAGGCCTAGAATTCCGAAGTTCTGCAACTCTGGAATTCTAGAATTCTAAAATCCTTGATGCTTAAAATTCTTAAGATCTGAAATTCTTGTAATCAAAAGTTCTAAAGTTCTGTAATTCTGCAACTCTAGAATTCTAATTTCTCTAATACTAGACTTCTACACACAGTGTGCATTTTTCCATAGGCCAGGCGGACATTTGCTACAGAAGCAGTCCGAAAGTCGATAAACACCTTTTTGTAGGTTTTCAGATATGCTCTTTCCAATGGCCTGCTTTACAAAATTCCAAAAGACTTTCATCTGAGTTCTCCAGAGACCGGCTCTCTAGAAAACCCACACATAAGTACTCAAGAACGTTGTAAAGCCCGCCATTGGAAAGAGCATATCTGAAAACCTGGAAAAAAGTGTGTATAGACTTTCGGACTGGTTCTATAGCAAATACCAAAATCCTTAGCCAAAACTGTCACGCTATGCTTCGACTCTAGCGTCCCGTTAGATCCAACAAGTTTTTGCTAAAAAAAGACCTACTAATCGCACATCATTCGATACAGTCTCTTGCGCTGATTCCGAATATGTAATTTTTGTTGAATAAAAACGTTTTCGAACCGAGAAAAATACCTGAAAAACTCAGGTTTTTTGGAAAACCCACTGTATGCTTCAGAAACATTTGCGCATTCACCGTAGATGCAGGACATATAGAAGAACATTCTATGAAAGTTTGGACCTTCGCTAACTTTCGCGCGCTCACTTTACTAAACTTAGCCCTTTGGAAAATCGCTTGAGAAAATCTTTTTTAATTTTCTCAGCTATCATAAGTCTAATTTAAAATTTTCTTTTTACTGATCTATAGCTGATGTCATGTAGATTTAGAATATATGTCGTTTTTCATTACAGCTTCATTGACTGCTGTGAAAATTTCATTGTTTTCACTTATACTACTATTTCAGGTTAAGTTTTTTGATTAGCTATTTTCCCGCGATACATAAATTTTGTAAAAAAATTTGTTGTGTTATCAAATAGAGCATCACTTGAAGTATATTAATCATTATTTGAATCGTCGAAAAGTCGATTTTCATTTTTTCACCTAATGTCCGCCTGGATGCACACTGCTGCAGTTATAAAATTCTTGGAAACTAAAATTCTACAATTCTTTAATTTCAAAGTTCTGTAATTATAAAATCCTTGAAATCTAAAATTCTTTAGTTCAAGGATTCGAATGTCTTGTAGTGCTAGAGTTCTAGAATTCCGAAGTCCTGCAATTCTAGAATTCGAGAATGCTGTAATACCAAAGTTCTAAAAGTCTACAACTATAAAATTCTTTAATTCGAAAATCTTGAAACTTAAAATTCTTGAAATCTAAAATTCTTCTGATAAAAAATTCTAGAATTGTGTAGTTGTAAAATTCTGCAATTTTGCGTCATTTCTTTACATACCGGC